ATATATATATATATATATACGTGGCCCAAATTAGATATATTTTGGTCAGTTAACCAAGATATATTTTAATTAAGAACTGCTCCAAATCGATTTTAACCGTTCTTAATCTTAATACAGTCGAGTCCATTTGATAGAGCATTAGATAAGGGAGCAGTCGCTTAAGAAAGCACTGATACGTTTTTGATTTTCTCCCCTATTTTATATTAGCAAGACTCCCATTAACAGACCACCGTATAATATAGTGGTCCATTAAAACGAGTGCCGTGTTGACGGCACTTTTAGAACAGACTGCTATTTTAGGACAGTCAAAAGATTTCTTAAAGAATGGACAGGTTTTACTGGACACGTATGCGAGAAGCAATTACGTATAAAAAAGTTATCATGAAATATGTATGAACAAACAGTACAGAACAAACAGCAACATGTATTGTACAGTACGCCCTCATCTTGAGTGGACGAGGCAAAAAGTGATTTGCGACTAGATTGAGGAAGCCATGTGACCTTATTTTAAAGCGGTTGTAAGCATTTTCCTTTATTAGATTTTCTTAAAGTTTTTTTTTTTTCTAGTTGCATGCGTGGTTTATTTTTTATACAGTATGTCCCATTAGAAAGCATTCAGAAATTTTGGAGCAAGAATATTCACATTTATTTTTTTCAACTATGCCTCGTATGTATTTCGGAGAAGTAAAGTGATATGACTATAAATATATTATATCTACTGATTATTCGGTAGAATAATAGAATTGATGATATAAGAATAGAAGCCAATGTGTAAGTACAATAAAATTATATCATAATGAATTTTAATATTTCCAAATATGTTATAAATTACATAGAATTCCTGAGACAATAAAAAGGAAAAAATCAAATACTATTAATTTATCAATCTCCAGGGTGATCTTGTTATTTCGGATATAGGAGTGTGACGTAGCGATTTCGAGGGTCCTCTCTTAAGTGGACTAGACTGTATATATATATATAAAACGTTTAACTGACTTTCGGGGCCACTCTATGTATTGAGATAATATAAATTTATTTTTAACTGAATTATAGTTTACTAAACGCGATAATAGCTGGTACAATATATAATACAATCTCATTAATAAAATTCATATAATTATGTAAATTTTTAGTATATAAATAAATTCAAAATTATATTTGTGTATATATATAATACTTAATGTAAATTACGTATTACGAGTTATAATTCGGGATTATTCATGATGTAAAGCATGCAGCATGATGATGTAATGTTTTAGAGTGATGTTTACATACTTCGTAACTCTGAAATGTTTCTCAAGTTGTTTCATCTGCCCTCGATTTAGCGCAATGAAAAGCAAACGGGGTATACGATCTACAACTTGTTAACTATTGCTAGAATGTATGAAATGTATGTTACGATTTTGGCATATGCGATAAATAATTGGATTGTATAATTATATAACTTGAATTATCAACATTTTTATAGTATTTATAATGCATCTATCCTTTAACAATTTGAATATTTATTTTTTTACTGGAAATTGATTATAGTATTTGATAGTAAAGAGCTTATCGACAATTTCTACATTTTGAGTTAAAATAAATAACATTAATTGTTATTTAAATAAAAATGAATGTTATAAGTGGCAATTAAATAAATATAACTTTGAATATTTTCTCTCAAATTTCTGTATTTTTTTTAATTTAGAAAGTGAAAAATGTCTTAGAAAATAATAAATTTGTAGTTTTTATGAGAAGAAATAAATTGAATTGTCAGCTAAATATATTTTGCATACTCATACCATAATCAGCATGTAAAATATTCTAAAATATATTTAAATATAAGCGATTATTGAGTTTGTATGATGTAAATAAAATTTAAAAAAAAAACGGCATATTAATTATTATAATAGTTAATTAATTAGATTTAAATGTTAAATATAAAGCATCCATTCTGTACTGAATAAATATGAATGTTCTATATTGAATAAAAAATATTCAATTTCTCATATAAAGTGCTTATTATCATTTCATTTTTTTAAATTCACTTTTATAATAAATTATAATCATATCAAACAAAAATACTTCTAATTGTTTTGTCCGTTCGCTTGTCTGTCTACTTCGGTATTTAATCATAACATTCAATAGGGAGCTCGAGAATTAATTTATTAGAGATAATCTCGTGGGTTTCCATCTGGTTGTCTGTCCAAAAACTTTTCGCAAATTAATAATTAAATTGTGTGACTGGTAGATATTAAATTAATATGGACGCTTTCATTTCATAAAAAACAAAATTTAATTAAGAAGAAAAGTGGTAAATGATTAAAAGAAATCATTAAGTAAATTGTTAATTAAATTTTTAGCTAAATTTTTAATTATTTTCGAAAATTTAACAATACCGGTAGTAATCAATGATTATAATGGAAATTATTGTTTTTTTTAAGTATTTATTTGTACCACAGTACTTGATTTTGTATTATTTAGTGATTCTACTAAACCATAATGAAAAACTTCTCGTCACCATACGGGAACTAAAGTAGTTTTCTCCAATATTTACCAGTACATGTGAGAATTAATAAATATAAAATTAAAATTATCATTGATTAAATTTGGCAAATAATACGATACACGTGATTGCCCAAAAGTCAGTTAACAGTACTTTTTTGCAAAATAAGCATTCATCATTAGTAATTTTGTCACAGACAATAATATGTACGGTAGAAGTGCGTTAAAGCGTTACAATTTGAACAAGAAGGATCTTATTTTAAACACTCTTTTTTGCAAATCTTTAAGTGTATACATAATACAACAATTTAGTTTTTATAATTTTTAACTGACTATTAGACCACCACGTACATTCGCTTCTTAGTATGCCTGATAAAAAATCGAAGTGGAATAAACATTATCATCTATAGAGCAAAACCGGAAGCAATATCAACAATATAGGGTAAGACACGTGCAGCATTACAATCGTAGCAGCACGTAACGGAGAGGTCACTATTTTTGGGTTTCAAAGTAAAAAATATGTTTATATGTTATTGTAGATTCAATAAACGTTTTTTTTTTATCTTAATAAAAAGGGTATAATATAAATTGATTTATTTTACTTTATTAATGAAGTGCATAAAAGATGATAAAATGTGTAAATGCGTTCTTAAAATATTAAATTTTAATTTGTAAGATTTATTTTTTTATTTCTTAAATTTTATATAAATCTGCCTAAAACCATAATATTAAATAACTCAATCATTAAATATGTCGATAAATATATATATATATTTATTTATTTGAAAAATAATACTAGAAAATTATAGAATTAAATATAGAATGTTTTAAATTATAAAATGATGTTTTTTATATTAATTATTTCA